AACGTCTGGTTTCAGCTGTGACTATGGCCTCACAGAAACCAGCTAATGTTCAGTGATAATGGTTTTTATGGAAATGAGATTTTACTGACTTGATCTCCATTCCTCTAACCAGATTTCCCTTTTTTTTTCCAAGCCTTTATTTATAGTGTCTCCTAAACTACTTCTCATCAATGGCTACAATCCTTGCTAAGGTTAGGTTAGAGTAGCATTGAAAGCACTTCCTTTCAATCAATACCAATGCACAGTTATCTTTGGAAGGCTGTTTGTCTGATGAGGCACTGGTTACATTGACAAATCAGCAAGTCCTCTCCTGTTGTTGGTGCAATAAAGGGCATGATTGTGGTGCGTAACATCTAAGACCAATCGGAAGGAGCAGTCTTATTTGATGTCATGCGCTAAATGATGCGATTGTCTGGGAGTTTGTGCTAGAACAAGTAGCATGATTCATCAGCAAGCCTTCAGTAGGCTTCAACAGGTGCTTAATTATGAATATAAGTGAAATATTTTTTAGCAATTTGAGATCTTTAATCGTGTTTGCCTCTGATTTTTAAAAACTGAGGCCTGAAACGAAAATGCTTATAGTAACGAAATACTTGTTGATAATTTACTGAAGTCGAATTAGGCATGCAAAAGCCTGTTTGCCATTTAAAAACTAATAATGCTAACTACCAAAGAGCAAATCGCGTTCTTTTCTTCAATTGTCAATTAAGAATGTGTTTGAGGCTTCTGTTTAAGTATATTTTAACCGTTAGCTGGCACGCTTAAATAAAGCCATAGGGAGTGTAACGCGGGCCTCTCCAAAAACAGCATGCATGCGAATTCTAGCAAGTAGGTAGGCCTTTTATGTGCTGCTCTCTTTCAAACATTTTATATCAAAGCTGAGATACTTAACTCTCACAGCCTAATCAAGCGCAGCTGTGATGTCACTAGCTGTGCTTTGAGATTACCGTAACTAACGAAATCTAAGAAAGAAGACAGACGCATGTGGGTCAGACGCGCACATTGGAAAGGAGTTATGTAAGTGAACTCAGGCACAAAGCAAAACAAAGCGTTTCCTTGTGAATCTCTCAACACGCTGTGTAACCCTAAAATGGCTTTAACTGGTGGAAACAGCTGATGCAGATGTGCTTCAGTAAAGAAGTGCAGAAGGTGACAATGAACAGATTAATCCCTTTCTCATACACTGGGCTCCACCAACAATGGTTTATTGCTACCATCACTTGATGCAGTCTAAAAATGTATGTTACCTGAAATATGGTGAGGAAAGGACATTGTGCTGATATACTCATTTCAGTAGTGTTGGCACAAAACATGGTGTATGCGAAAAGAATTCCTTGTAGAAGAAGGCAACATTGCGACCATATCCAAAAATTATGCACCCAAACAAATATCGTCCTAAACTTTGGTCACACCATCTAGACATTGCAGCTGTTACTCAAAACCAAAAGGTACTTCCTTGGTTTTCCATTTCCATGTTCTTAAACTAATACAGTAGTAGCCTCCTGCTGGTTCGATGAGTTGGTACTCTGATCATATCATCTAAGAGCATTTTACGCTACTCCAATAAAAGCAGCAACTCAACAATACCACGGAATTAAGTTCTATGGGTCCTATCCGAGTATTAATTATAATATAAGCGGATAAGTCTATAATTGCTCTAAAGATGGTAACTCCTGATACTAGTAGTGTAATGCCAGTCTTACCGAGGGGACTAACCTAATTAGTTTCCATTTTCCGTATTATTTTATCATTGTAGACAACCTCATATGGTTTCCACGAATTAGGACAATTGTCTGCGCAAGGGTATATGCCAGCAGAATTACAAGGCAAATGAAGTATTTTGGCATGTGATCGAGAACCTCCGCAGAGGAAGTTGCAAATCACGAAGGCCGCTGAGTTACGTGGAGAATACGCTCGACGTAGACCACCGCCCAGGCAGGAATTGAATCATCCTCGATATCATTTGCTTATGTACTGATGTGTGGCGGACGTTTAAGTGGACCCTAGTTAGTAAAGTTTTGATATTATCTACTATCTACATCCTGAGGAAGCATGGTCATGTCTGAACTGACCACTGACTCCGTCTTCGCACGTATCCAATGGTGAAATGCAACCCCCATAGAAATGTATTTTAAAAGGGGATTAAACGATTTCCAGTGCCCATTACAAAACAGTCCACCGTAGTTGGTGTCCACTGTGGGCAGTGAACCCTAACAACAGCCATCACAGGTGTGCAGAACAATGCCTTAACTGATGTAAACTTTTACAAGTTTGGCTAAATTCTGAGGTGTTGCTTTCCACAGTGCAATTATGCGCAGCTGCAGTGATACCTTGGGCTCTCTGGGGCTTAAGGTAGCTGAAGTTACTTAATTAATATGACAGACACACATATTTGGTAAGCTAGGTACATTAAAAGTAGAATATGGCATCGCTGAAGTCAAGCACATACCAAATGATTTGCCTTGCCTTTTGTTTCTGACAACACATTGCAAAGACAAATGTCGTGAATCCATTTTATGAGAAGGAAATGGATGATATAGACTGAAGAGTAAAATTAGGGCCCACCGAACTTAGCAGAAAAAGCTAATGCAATCTGACTGTTAGACTTTTGTGCCCACAACATTGTTATGTTACTGCTGTAGCCAAAGCAGCATCGAATAAACCTGGGAATAGCTCAAAAGCCGAATTTTGCTGATCCACTGGTGTTAGAGCACGATATTAAAGAAATATATTAGTGCTCTATATTTCATTCTCATGTATGCAATTTCTGATAGGCAAATTCTAGGTTGGACATGCTTGAACATTTTTGTGAGTGGTTCTTATTTTGACGATGGTTGTAATTTTGTGGCACCCATTAAGGGAATTCTCAGTACATGCCTCAATAGAAGTTGGTGTTTTTTGTCGTCATTTTTATCCTTCATCATTTTAGTACATGTTTTAAGTGCTTAGGAACCGACATTTCTTGAAGCAGGACCCAACATTACAGAAGTCGTTGTGGCAACCTTAAGCTTGAACACCTTCTCTCACGCCTTTTAAGAGTTATAAAACAGTAACTTAATGGAACCGTGAGTGCGCCTTAACTAAATTCCATTAGCCTTCTATCTGATTAAGTATACACAAATATGTGGGCATTCGATTTAATTTCAGTTGCCATGTTATCTGCGTGCAGTTGAAGACACATGTGCAGCCACCTTCATTCTTTATAGAGGACACTCTATTCTTTGTCTAGGCACATGATTACTGTGTGGTTACCATCAAAAATGTACACTGACCGTTCGAGCACACTTTGACAGTGCAGGAGTTGTCTTGAAAGCAAATGTATGTTTAGTAGTGATTAGTGCTGCCGACCCGGTCTGCTAAACGAAAATTGAGAACCAATGAACACAGGAATAGCGTTTTGACTCCTTCCCACCAAACAATACTCAGCCACCACATGTCAGTAATTAAACAAATGATATAGTGAGGGGTTCGATTCTGCCTTACACGGTCTTCTTATATAATCGTAGACTAATAATATCCAAAGATCCTTAGAACAAACCACTGGCAATGTTTAGTCTGTTAGTAAACCTCTACCGGGCAAGATTTGGTCCTATAGAGCGGTTATTTGATCTGTCTTTGTGTGGTGCATGAATATCTCCGAAATAAAATCCCACTTAAGCTGTTACCTTCAGCATTAATGCACAACCAAGCTATCATTCAAACAACTGACAGAGGCTCACTTGTTTTCATTTTATGTGGTTTATGAGAGACAAAATAACGGATATTTTTAGGATTGCTAGGCAAAAAATTTAGATAAACGTTTTCATGTATTGCTCACATTACTGATAATGAAGATTTTCTGATAATAAGCTGCCTGTTTCTAAGAGGGACACCTTTCTTCAAAAGACCATATTTTATAGTCACGGGACTCACTTTGCTTTCCACTTTTGCTTTTTGCCTGGATTCTAAACTTTCGAGGACTGGGTGGGCCTCTTTGCTAGATTTTTTTCTGTAGGGCCAATGGGGTTCACTTTCTTGCCTTTCTTGCAAGATAAATATATCTACCAAAATAGTAGTTTCCGTAAATCATAAACATGTTCAAAGATATACCAGGACAAATTTTGCTACGGCTATATGAATTACACATCTTTTCCCTATAAACTAAATTTATTCTTTTTGACTACATAACTTCACAATTTACCTTGACTAATCAGGTTCCAAATACTGGTTTGCAAATGCTAAAGTGGGTGCATCGTTGAATGCACAGTCAATAAAACTGTGAAGCCACTTTACTTTGAAAAAACCAGATGGTATTTGTCTTAAGTCGCAGCATGCTGGATAAACTAGGAGCCACACTCGCAAAATTTAACAGGAAATGGAATTCGCATGATTATGCGGGATTAAGAACCGACTGCATTAATTGTATAGTTACTTTAAATGTAGTTCACTTACACGAGCTCTTCCGCCACACCAATTTGGAGTACTTTGACCTAGAAGATTTCTCTCTTCGCTCCATGGCATCTATGTATCTGTAATCGGCACTGTGAAAACTAAAACTGAATTGATTTTACGCACTTTCACATTCTGTCTAAGTGTCACCACCAAAGCTTTAACTCTCTTATTTTGCGCAGGTGCTGGTTGCTATTATGTAGTTCAACAGCCTAAAAATGCTGACATCTGAAGCACTACTCCGGGGAGCAAAACAGGCAAAATCAACTTTTGGCATGCAGAGATGTGTAAGAGAATCTTGAAAATACGCCCCGGTTGAATCACCTTAACTTTTTGGGTGCAATCAATGGTTGCAGCACAATGCTATCCACCACAAAATACATCCCCATAAATGGCATTAAAAGTAGCCGATTAAATAATTTATTCATAAAAAGGTATCTTTTGGACCTTGCGGGGAGTAAACATAGAATTATAAATCAAAATGTATTGCTGCTTGAGTTGATCGACTGGACCCTTGTGCATCTAGGAAGGCAGATTTGGCAAAATGTGGCAAAATCACAGGAGAACAACGTAGCGGAGGGAAAAAAAGACCGCAAAAATATGTAAAAGTGCTTTTGTACATCATAACCGCGGATGTTTCTTAAAGTTAATGTTTCGGCACTAAAAACCAATCTGTACAACGGAGGACCTCCTGCGGTATGCAAACAAATCATACCTCTCTAAATCACCTCAAATGCTAAAGAAGTGAGTTGAAGAAATTTAAACAACTTTGCAACCAGTGGTTGCAAAATAATTACGACATTTGCCTCCCTATTTCTTCTAGGGAGAACTCCTTTGACTTTGTCTAGTGAGCTGAATTTATTAGCTTCATTTGGATATTTAGTAATGCGAGGGCATTTTGTTCCCCTTAAATTTTTCTGTTTACTGCTTACAACATATTTTAAACACGTCAACTCATGTAGAAGTAGAGATTTCATAAACAAATTCTCCAATATGTGTTGTACTTTGAAGCAACTCAAGCTCAATTGAAAGCCAGATTTGACTGAAGTCAGAAATTCTTTCTATAAATGGGCAATTAAGACTTAGTAAATGTGATTGTGGAGAAAAAGTTTTTAGCGAATATCTCATGGGGGCACAGAGCATAGAAGGATGCGTTCACTGTTCTCTTCTACAAGTCCTAATCTATAGATGCTCGATCTAGCTTATTGCATAGTTGTTCGCAATCAAAACCGCTATTTTGTTAGCTTTCAGTAAAAACCTTTACTACTTATGAAATGGAACTTTAATGACTGCTTGGCAGTGACAGCACTTGACTCTCTTGAATACATGGGCTCTACCTAAATCGGTAGTAGCCACCCTTCAAAGATGAATACCCACCAACAGCTTTCTCCCTCTTTTTTGATATTGCTCTTCACTGAGCCCCATTATTGTTGATCATGGATATAGAGGTACCACATGTTAAATTTTACACCGTTTCATGGGGTTTCAAACCGCACCACCAATTCAAATCCTGCAGCAAATACCACAGATTGCATTTACAACAATAAAAAGATACATAATTTTGTTCAATAAATATCTATCCAAGGGCGCCTTTTAAGCGACAGTTGTTCAAAATACGCCAACTTCCGGGCCAAGTAGATGTCCTTGATTATCAAGGAGGGAAGAATTCTTGTAGCTCCAAAAAATTGATTTTAAGAACCTTCCGCGCTATGCAAAGTGAGATGTCGTCCTACAGAACGTCTATCCCACCCAAATGTGCATAACACTAGAAGTCGTAAGGAGAACAATCGAGGGTTTTATATTCATATGCATTATTATTTCATTCGATTAAAGTAAGCAGCATTTCTTATTTCCTCATTGATATGCTCCAAATCGACCTATTACGGCCTCTTTTCCTTAAGTATTTTTGAATGTAAAAAAATACGACATCTCTTTAGGGCTGACGAAATGACTGCTCTGTAGGACTCAATCCCACCTAATGGAAATTAAATAACTGTCCGAAGATGGCTAATAGTCTGTTCTGGAGGACTCCACATATCAACTTTTTACGTACAAATAATTGAAAATGGAGTAGATGGCTTAAGCAAAGATTTGATTCAGTGCCAAAATTTGATTGATAAATCAGGCTACAGGCAGACCTGTTTTGGATTTTATCAATTTATTTGAGTCAATATGGTACAAACCAGCTCAAGCTTTATTGCTTAAAACGGAATGAAAGCATGTGATAACGCGGTTTTTATGCACACTTTGTCATGTACTTCACTAAATGCTCTGTTTTTACGTAAGCCATGTGCGGATGTTTTCACGCCAGTTAAGCATTTGGACCTCCGCATTGAAGTTGTATATAAACTTGAGTTTATTCGGTCATGAGAAAATTTGGGGACATCCATTGATTAACGTAATTTCCGTTGCATAAAGTCCGTTTCCTCAGACTTAAGACTGAACTCCATGGGACATCGCACTTCGTGGTGAGTGATTGATGTGCGAAAGTTACTATTACGGGGTGAAATCGTTTCACGTATATGTGATGATACAAATAACCGGTTACGGTTTGACATCCTAGGTTATTTTGGGCCGATTTCCTTAGGAAACATGTTTGACGCAACAGAATGTGTTGGGTGTAATAGATACCGTGACCATCGGCCATTGCATTGCTGCTTCAGGTGCATCCTGAACATACCAAGTGTGTTTGCGTGATACTGTCTTTGTCTAGCGCGATTTTATGACCTGCAACTCTAAATTGCTACTTAGTTGTAGCAATTTCAATGACCAAATTAATGCTTAGTGGATGATTACTGTGTGGTCTTATGCACAGAGTGCGTTACCAAATAATACGATTATTAATACAATGAGCTTGGGCAGACTGTTCCATTGTGACTGGTGTATGAACTTGCGAATAGTAATACCATCCTGCAAATGGCACTCTGATTTCATTCTGTGTATGTACGATCAAAGAGGCAGTATACGTTGTGTCTTCTACGTCTCGCAACATAGTTTTGCTCCTTTTGAGCATTATGTTTCAATGTCTGTTAATTTGTTTGGATTTGAACTATATACACATAAATAAGTAGAAGTTAGCAGGAGATAACCGCTTGATTTGGATTATGGTTTATGAGATTTATTTATAAGCTTCCCGCATGAAGACGCAGCATTTAAATATTTATTCGTGTTGTTTTGAAAACCTATTTCCTCAATCACGATGATTTTTCATGCCAATATCAGAGGGCTGGTACGTAGTCCCTAACATGAATGTGTTGGAGAGCATAGAATTGGGTCGGATGTACTTCGTTTGTAAAAATAACTAAAGTGCGATTAGAGAGATGATGTGATGGAATGGTCATGCAAGTGTTTAGCCATATTAAGGGTTACATGTCTAAGTGCAAAGGATGATTATGAAGAAGTCCAGAGAAATATAGTTGGAGACAAATAGTGTTGATTTATGGCCACAACAAATTTCTAGACTTTAATTAATAAGGATGAAGTTTAAGCAATATTTTGCGAAGTCTAGGCTATTGAAAATAATTGAATTTGGTTCTAGAATTTGAAATGACTCAAAGAAAGAGGAATTGTGACTTAATGCTTTAGCCTACAATCGTTCGCTTTATTGATGCAATAGCTGAACTACAATTCTTTGCTTTTGGCAAGATAATAATGGAGAAAATGCGCAGGTTCTATAAAAATAATGAGTTTTGGCTCTTTTCACGAAAAGATAGGGACGCATAAAGCACTTACTATGAGCAGGTTTTTATATTTTGCGAGGTCTGGCATCATTTTCTACTCTGCGTGTCATTTTACCCGATGCGTAAGCAACTGCTTTCAAAATGGTTGACTGGTTTTTTAAGACAAGAAGCATGAGCCTAACCTATGTGAATGCAAACAGCTTAGGCCTTCAATTATAGACCCTTCTCCATCTCAATAATATGTTTCCGAAGTTAGCAATCGCTTGCCTGTTTCAATGCTACTACTTCTGCACAAAAACGAATTCCTCCCTCTGTGGTCTAAATTTGATTTGCTGAAAACCTATAATTTGGCACAAATCATTTGGCCAAAATGTGCTTAGTGGGTAAAGAGAAGGGAAGTTGGAAGTAACATTAACACACGTGCTAATCACGCGATATTCGGTAGGTGGCAAGCGAAAACAATGAGGGCATAGGACGAAGTGCCAAGAGAAGAAAAGTAAGCGGCATTGGGTGTTGAGTAGTAGCATATGGGTGCGTAGATGTGTAAGAAGCCGTCTCTTAGAGGTAGTTTAAGGGAAACTCACTACATTACACTTAATGGTGTGCATCGTGCTGCAGATGGCACACGTGGCGCTAGTCTGAATGATTGCATCAGTAAGGTGCATGTCGACTTGAACGATAGTGACAATGTGGCCACTATCGCTAATATAGCGGCCATTATAACAAGACCAAGATTGCTATCAGCTCGCGATGATTACGATAATGACCCTGTGCTATGTAATGTGTCTTGCACTGTCCATATTGAGATGTCGACGAACGACAAGGCAACAAGGTGCAGAAAGCGGTTTGGACATTGAGCGTATGATGTCGCATCAATTCGATGAGATGCTTTTCAATATTACCCAGTTGTTGCGAAGGTGGTGGATACGGCAATGCCGGTGCCATAGATGGCACTAAGAATTCAAATGTTGTCTGCATCGCAGATGGAGTTGCATGCTGCTTTTCCAGAGGTTGATCACAGTCATCACATCGACTGGCAAATAATACGAATTCCCTGCCTTCTGACAACTCTACAGTCTACCTGAGCTACTAGTTTGCCTAATGGGATCTGTTCTGCGTTAAAGCGGGCAACAGCGGAATATAAGGATAACCGAGTTGACTCAGAGTAGAATGGGATACATGTGTGCCACAGGCTACAGCGCAAGCCGATGTGGAGGAATAGCAACAGCGGCAAGCATCAACATAATTTGTCGCTCTTGTATTGGCATTCGGAAGATTGCGCATTCACGTTCGCTTCCCTTATCGTCTATACTCTTTATGTTTTGGCAGGAGGCGTCTTGATCATCCTTCATTTTGGTGGTGAAAAACTTTGAAGCTGGCGGAGCAAATTTCTTGCAGGCGGTGGTGTGGGGCCCCTCAGAAATAAAGTGATGGTTTGTTGCCAAGACAGACTATCGTAGACAGAAGTGCACTACCGAGAATTTTGACATTACACTTCAGCAAAGATTTCGAAAATCGGAATATAGCCTCTGCAACCCTAAACAAAGTGTGGGATGATTAGTCTTATCTATCACCTCAAACAACTTTCCTAGCCTAACAAATGGGAAGAAATACCAGCATCACCACCATCAGTAGTGTGTAGAATCGTTAACAAACAACTCGGAAGGCTTTCTTTAAGCTTATAGTTGATCCGTGCGACTTTTGGGCCACATGCTCTTGGCAGTTCCCAGGTAAAGGTGTAGTTTTGCATTTGTTTGCAGCTATTTATCGCACTGCACGGATTCCTATGTGAGTGACATCCTGTGTGCATGTAGGCAAGGAGGCGAATAAGAAGAGAATTGCAAAGGCAAATAGAGGGAATTAAAGGGATGGTAATTTGCGAATAGAGATATCAAGAGACTAGGAAATGGAAAGACAGTGGGGGACACAGAGGCCTAGTGGGAAACGAACATGGTGCCCACCAGCAAGGAGAAAGAGCCTGTAAGGTATACAGCAGGAGGACGGAAGAAGAGGATTTCCTTGCCTATTATTACGGCCATACTATGAACATTTGCTCGAGTAGGGGAAATTATTTTCAGTATTTAGGGACAACATTGCTTTGACCACCTATTTTTTAATTTTTCTTTGCAACGATTCACTCAATAAGGATATTTTGGATGAGATTAGGAAAAATACTCGGTGTGGTCCCTAGTGCATTAAACAAGCGCTATTCCAATCAAACTGCTTTACTGTCCCATAAGGAAAAATGAGCAAACATTCCTCCTAGATCATAGCACCACCCAGTGGAAAGAAAGTATTTAAATTACTTATTCTATCATTGAAAGACTCGCGTTATTAGGGGATTAGACAGATAATCCACTCCTTGTCTCTCGCTTTTTCGTGTTTAAACTTCGTTCCACTCCCGTTTATGTGTTATTGTATCATCCTTTTAGTTTTTATTTATAGTGAATTGTGTAAACCAACAACACAAGCGACCATTTTGACTTCCTCAGTATTATGGCAATGAAATGTTGTATAGTCACCAAGTATCTCTATTCCAATCATTTATCCAAAAGGAACCATTATTTAAGCATGATGATGGGTATTTTGTTCAAACAAAATCGATTCACCAGATAGTTAAATTTTCATACCCTCTCACCATTTGATGCATTAACTGTGGTTGACCTCCTACAAGTCTTTACTTTCCTTCCACTTCAGATATACTGACCCTGAGCCTTCTAGTCAGAGAGATGGCCAGGTCCTCACTACTACTATCACAACGGCGGCTCCTTCCTTCTAGAAGGCGTAAGGGGGGATGTCAGTTCTCTGATAGCATGTGTCAGTACAGATTAACTTATGCATTGCTGTTGTTCATCGAATGTAATAAACACATTGCTAAACCCCGTTTATCAGCATTGGTATCGTCAGTGGATCGCAGACGTCTTTATTCAGTGATTCTTACAGCAGTAGTTGAATTTACTGAGCACTATTACTTCTAACCGTATGCTAACAATCAGTGCGATCATGCAGACTACGATCATGTACGCTGAGATGCGGAAAATATCAACTGCTTTAAAGGACAGTGGCAGTCACCAACGGCACACGAATTCTGTCTTTGAAACTGCAGATTTTTTTTTCTTTACATGCTAAGTTTGATCCCGTATGCTTGTCAAATTAGTAGAAGAGCAATTAATGGAGGTGTGACAGTAGACTGAAACATCCGGAAGCGATGTGCCAGTCGCAGATGCATACATCACATCCATAAAGACACTCCACTCTTTATACCAAAGGTATGAATGACGTCTTTGTGCCTAATAATCTGTGACTGATCCCCAAAATATGATGTATTTTCAAATAGGGCAGACATAAAGGATACTAACCAAATGGCTTTTACATCGATGAATAGATCATGTTAGGCTACAAAGTCGACGACTAGGTTTCCAATTTTTCTTTGTATACCGAGTTTGCGCCTTTGTCGATTCTCTGAATGACCTGTGCTGAGAAATAGGCTTTACACCCTCTGTTAACCTCACCACCTGCCTCACATTTCTAATCCACCTCTTCTTTCTAACTCACGCACGTACCGGTCCAATTACTCCTTATTGAAACATGATCTCCATCTACCTTGGCACTAAAGATAACCTTGAACAAAGATGACAGGTTAGTACAAATCGTCAAATTCGTGTTCAGATTACTTATAAAAGGGGTTATTAACTTCAGCACCAATTCCCTGGGTGTCGTGTAGTATTGTATTGTACCGCTTGAGTACAGTATTTATTATCAACCAACACCAAAAGGAGAACACAAGCGGAGGTCCTTTTTGTAAAACATGGACAAACAGATTAAGAAGATGCAACTTTCACTTAATCCATATTGTAAAACTAGTGGCATAGGTCATATCAGCAAAAAATTTTGCAAAACAAGGCTATGTATCTGCACCGCCGAAAGGAATAGGCAGCGCTGTAGGTGGGAAAAATAAACTCTAAGGACGTTAGAGTGTTAAAGGTAAACCGAATGCAAATTTTTTGCTGTTGATTTTGAGCGTTTCTGGCTACTTTTCCCGCTGAATCATGAGATTGCCAACGTCGCCGCAGCGAGGTGTCTGCGACATTCTCGGATTAAGGTGACTGTTGTAAGAGGGGAGCTGCATTGTAAACGCTTGTTTTTTCCGGACATCGTAAAAGCGACTTGTTCTTGAAGCCACATTGTTGTTGATGTTGATCGCATTAACAATCAGGATCTGCCAAAGCGATGAGGGCATTTCCACTGCTGGTAGTGCATTAATGTTTGTTTCCAAGGTGTCCAGAAGAAGTGGACGCCTGTTGACGATAAAAAGCCCTAATTTATTAAAGTATGGTCCACAGTGGCACAAATGACTCTTAATATTAAAGCATAAAATAACTTTCTCTTCACAATAGCACCCTACACTGGACGGTCTCAATCATTCCCCAAGTGCCATAAAATCTTAAAGTAATGAGATCTCATATTCCATCGAACTGGAGCTACCACAGGGTGCATGAAGGGCATGATAGTATTTTGTCGACTGTCTATTTCAGTGGCAAGTATGGTGCCATACTGTGTTTGAAGTCCTGACTAGGAACAAAAATTTCAGAGCTTTGAATGTCCTTTATTTGCTTTGATTCTAATACACAATCTATTTCTCATTACAGAAAAATAACAGCTGTCAACTTTGGTGAGTAGTAAGGAATGCTTGCAGAGTTCAAACTGGCAAGACGGCAGTCCGATCCCACCGGCGCTTAAATGGCTGCCCGATTTTCAGCTTGTCTCTATTATTACACTTTGGGGAGCTCTAGCCGAGTCCCGAAGAAAACCCGCTTAATGAGTTACATCCTAACATTCACACATACATTTAATTAAGCCGAGGATAGTTTGGCAGATGTGCTCTGCATACCACATTTCCATTTCTGAGATATTTCTGAGGGTCTTGAAGTAGTATCTTATTTTCATATGTCCTCCTACAAAGAAGGCAACATGCGATTATCGAAGATGTCGCCATTCATCTTTTCTTCAAACGAACAGACATTGCAAATGACCGGGTGATGTAGCCAAATAACCTTGCTCTGTTTTTGCAACAAGTGCCGTTATCCTACGAAGAGCTACACAACAAGTTTTCCACTAGAGTATTCAGTAGAACAAAATTTTATTCGTGCATATGTTTGCTGTCTACTGCAATGGTAATGAGCTTGCAGAAGCATTTCTGAAGGAATATGATGCACTAGGACTAAGTGGTATCATCTTTTGTTCATAAGTTGCAGCATGAAGCCTACCCACAACTCAATTTCGCAGCAATCTTTATTGTGAGGTTTCGCGACATAATAAATGCCTGAAAATGAGGCTTTGTTTTCATTTATTTATTACCTCTGGCCCTTCCTGCATAGGGGTGTGGAAGGGGAAATGTAGGCGGAGCAGGAGTAATACCTTTGCCCTCTCGTAATCATCTGTTCCTGAGTATGCTAAGACAATGACAGTCTGCGAGTCTTTGCGACTTATTCTCTTCTGTTCTGATTATGTACCCATTTTTTATTCAATTTTTTTAGTTCGTATAGGCTTATATCTCTTTTAATCCCTAGCACTAAATATTGGCAACGCGTTAACAATATACACGCATACTCTAAAATGCAAACGATAATGCCGGTCTTTGTGATGGCGTAGCCAATCGCGTAAAACTGCATTTCTACAAAATGAAGTTTGTCCGTGGAACATTAATTACCCATCAAAAGTGGACTATTAGTTCAGTCACTTTTGGTAGTGAAAGTAGGCAAACTACTTTATTGTTGCCTATCCCCCAACCAAAAAAGGAAATATTCACTAGCATCATGAAGAGATCCCAGTAACACATCCGACGGTATGAATACTCGTTACACCGATGAGAAGATGAGGTTTGCGTAACGAGGGAGGAAGACTACCAAAAGGGCATCAAGTTTGGTAATATATGTTTGCATGACCAAAAATTTTGGCAATATGCATTTAATGAATACGAACAACTTGGCGAATGGATGTCAGCTATCCTCAAGGAAGATCTGTACTCTGAACAGGCCTAACCATGATACCTAGTAGTAGTTCATAATATATCTATCTCATAATATTATTAGTCCACTCGCCTCACGAGAATAGAGGCTGAGCCTGAACGGAACAAAGCCGAAATTAGTGCATTCATCACTTACTAATTTATCGTAAGAGGGGTATTTCAAAGAGGTTAATGAATTTTTAAAGTTGTCTTTGTAGCTAGGTACAAGCAAAAGTTAACAAATACACTCCTTTGGCACTCCTGTACGGCTTTGCTAATCAGGTCAGCAATATCGGTCGCCCTTTTTGTACCATATCTTTGGATATTGTAAAGCAAATCACTTTACCCTACCAGATTTGATAAGGTGCCTCGATCAAACGCCATACCTTTCTACTAAGAAGGGTTTGGCCTTGCACAGATACTTTACCCGCTTTCACTTCACATCCATTGCAGCCTGCATGGTGGCTCAACTCAATCAAACCAGTGGAATTATTTGAAGTGGTCACTCCTGCTGCATAAGATTGCTTAAAGTTTATTTCCTTACTCCAAAGTTAGTGACTTTAGAAAAGATTTGCTGCAACTTGCCTAAAATGACCAATATAAAAACCATGAACAAGGCTAATGGATAAGAAGTGAATTCCCTTCTCCCTATTTATCATCTTTTGATGGGTCAGAATGACATCATGTGTGCGTCCCATTCACCAGATATAGCTTCAATTTTGCTCATAAATTCCTCAAGTGTCACTCAAAATCAACACCTTTGGGAAAAAAGGAGGTTAGTAGAGTTTTTGAAGATAATGTCTACTTTATCATGCCACGTGAAACGTTCTGAGCTAATAAAAGCCACAGGAGTCATCTGATCTCATCAACTTTGCCTCTTACTCCCAGTGCAGTTTTATGCAAAGATAAATTCTAGTAAAAAAAGTAATTCACAGTCTGATTGCATTAGAGGCAAAAATTCGTGCTTGAAGAAAATATCCACTGACTAGCCGTTTTTAGTAAGTATGAGCCTTAATTCCGCACAGTCTAAAGCATCGAGTCCCATTGCACACGGTAGACTACTGGAGGAAAGGACGACAGCGGCATGTTAACCAGTTGATACGGGTATAAATAAATTGCTTGCTAATCACCCTCTTTTATCTCCAGTCTGCTTTGCATCATGAAGTCGTCGGCTGTGAAAAATCAACACTGAGTGGAAAATAGACTGCAGATTTACGTTTCGAGTGAAGAAATAATTATTTGATCACGTTTTAATTCCTTACTTTCCTTCATTTATATTGTGGGCAGTACAGCATGCGCATCGCATGCAAGTCAATTTGCCATTAATATTGATGTAGGCACCAAATCAAAATAACCTGAAGGAAAACGCATATTCTCGTATAGTGTACCATGTGTAGTGTACCATGTATAGTGTACCATGTAATAGCTGATATTGCATCTTGCAAGATGCAATATCAGCTATTGTTTATAGTAGAGCAAGAGCTCGATATCCCTGCTATGGAATTTTTCATCTCCAGCTTTGCGTTATAGTTGCTCAAGCGTCTGCACTCAGCTATCTGCAATACGGTTTGGGTAAGCTGCACCGTGTCCCTTTAAAATACTTATCAGTTAGTTAAGTCCCTGTCACCTTTATCTATAGCAGGTATTCAAAACCCTGCCTAAGCGTTGGAAGTACCTATGCCTAACTCACTCGATGGGCCAAGGAGAGTACTAATTGACCCTGAAGGCTGCAACAAACTTATATTTTATCTACCTCAAGAGTGTGATGCCATAGATCTTGTTATCCATTTCTTACATTCTGGGAGGGATATCGGTACGGCAGTTGGTGATTGTCGTGACTAAAATAAAAGCAAATGCTTTGCTATGGCCTTGTACGATATTTGGCATGCATTGACTTTCTGTCTTACCATTCATGGTTGATCAGAGTGTGCAAACTTCCCCGGGGCTTGTTAGCTACAGCAATCCAATTAATGCCTAACAACCAATCACTGAAATTAATAGCTAAGGAGTGAGAGCGAAGGGGTTGAAAGCAAATTTGTACAGTTTGATGCTCAGACGCTCTTACTAGAGTAGTTTAAGTTAGAATTTATGCTGCGAGTGCTATTTTATAAACTTTTATTGCGCTTTTCTTTACCCACTAAATAATACTACCAAATCCATCTGCTTTTTTTCCTATTTATAGTGGTATCAATTTTAAAGGAAAAACTATTGATATCGAAATCGACAAAATTATTTTTCTCGGAAAGGAAACGACTCTATTATTTCCTTAGTGTCTGAGCTGTTGCTGTTGCTTAGCTCTGTGCTTGTGTAGTCGTTTTTATTTATTCCTCCTCCAAACTTCCCTTGTGTCGCACAGCTAGAGGTTTCCTTTCGTGATCTATGCAAGACAGCCCTCTTCTGTATTTGCCTTAGCCTTGTGTGTGTAACTCTTTTCCAGCATTTTAAGGCCTAGTCCTGACTAAATATTTTGGGTATTAATGCACATGTGCGCCTTTATGTACTTCTTCGTTCCTTGTTTCTAATTTTCATTGTGCTTTTGCCCATTAATAATTTGTCACAGAAATACGTTGCATACAACTGTTGCCTTTTTCCTTTGTTTTAGACCATTCTTAGTCTCAATGAACAATGTTTGAATTCCACACATGATGCTACCCATATTTTATCAATGAAACGTAATTAAGCTCTCCTTTAACAAACTTGCCCTCATTGAGCCAATTTCTGCAACTCGTGTCTACTAAACGTAACCACTGCAGCTAAGAAGGATAAACTATTTCTGATACTGCTTTTAATGACTTTTTACCTTCAGCTTACAAAGGTACAAATGGATGGAGAGGATCTAATAATGTGTAAAATTTGTTAGGAGTCATATGTATTCCAACCGTTCCTTGTGAGGTTATCATCGGAAAAGTGTAGATCAAGGCCTACAAAATTATTTTAAATTTTGGCTAGAATGATGTCAAAACAGCTTTTCTCTGACATGTATATGCTCAAAACGCCTTTATTCGGGTGTGGTTTGCCTTACCTCACCGGACCAAGTTGAACCGGCATATAGGTAGGTATTGCCAATCTCAGGAGATAATTAGAGAATTTAAGCTACTGCTATTGCTTAATAAAAAGAGCCATTCTGCTCCACATTTAATTGATAAAATTATATGAGATGGGCTTAAAAGTCCGCGGTTGCATTAACCAAGGCAGAGGACTAAAATAACTCTGTTTCGTTTTACATCAAAATGGGAAATTTGCGCGGAGGAATGACCTGATTTCTATGACAGAAGGAATGGAGGGCTCTCGCAAAAGTTACACGGACCCATCGATTTGTATAGCCAGATGCTTTGCGTTTCCAACAATTGCTTGCTGCTACTTATTGAAACTAGCGGAGTGAGGTGATTCATCCATTAGTTAGTAAGCAGAATCAGTAATGATGTTAAATGGTGTCTGTCTTAAGACCCAATTATTCAGTGTGTCTACGACTCTGCTTGTGAATATGTTGCAGGAGTTAGACATTCGTCTCAAGATTAAAAACCTTCCGCCACTAGATTCGTCCATTGCGCTTGTGTGCATCGCCGGTCCACTGCAGCTTCGGGGGCTGCAAAGTAGCTCCTCCCGTTAGGTTTTACTTCCATACGAAAAAACACGCTAGTCTACAAGCTTAAGTCATACCATCTCGATGAGGTGATGTAATCAAAAGTGATGTTCCGCATCACTTCGTTGCAAAGAGATCAGTATTTTCAAACCAACCGACCCCTAGGTAGATGCCAATGTTGAGTTATGAATGAATTATTAAGCACTGTACTGTGCTGCAGACTATAGTGCAAGCAGTCTGGTCTAGTCTAGTTCAATGGGGTTTAAACCTGCTCAGCTTTTTGCTTTTACATCTTTTTATTCTCCTTTTTGCTTAGTTGTTTTTATTACATTTGATTTGGCTTTCCTCTCGCCAATGTTTCATGCCCTCGACTGTTTTAAGCTTTATCTACGAGAGCAAATTATACCGATAAATGACATAAATATAAATAGATAGAAAGATGATGAGAAAGACAAACAGGTGGATAGTTGAGTTAGTAAGTAGGCAGGTGGACAGACAGACATAGTATACCAAGAGTCTAAATAGATCGTGTTCACTGTTCACTTCAGTGGCAGATATGGTTTAATGCAGCATAAGATTAACCAGCATCATGCGATCCATAAAGTTTTAACTTCCACAGGGGAACGAATCCATCCTACAAGCGTTTAGAGTATTTATTAAAAAGCTACTTTTGACATGAGTCATTTGGTCAGGATGTGTAATAGATGTGATGGTTAAGTAGGATTTGGTAAATGACACATGCGATCGATGAGCCGATGGAACGAAGGTGCAAGAAAATAAGGGTAGGTAGCGTCGGGTGCTGAATGAGGAGGTGACATGCGGATACGTGTGTATAAGGGGGCTCTACTTTACAGGGCATTTATGTTGCGCGTCATACCGCGCTCCCTTCTAGTCAGTCCGATCGTAATGGTGGCATTCATGCGTTTTGTAATGATTGTGAGGATGATACAAATGGTACACCGCTCATTAATAGCTATTGCTGTGGTAGGAATTATTGTAAGAGCAGAACTTATGCTCACGGTGCCGACGATGATAACAGCATAGTCTTGGATACTGGTTTCTAGCACTGTCAACATTGAGATGCCGACAAACAACATGGGGAATAAGAGTGCAGATGTCGTTAAAGTTATTGTGCATGCGATGTTACATGGAATCAAAGATGAGTTGTTCATTATTGTCTCAATTTATTTCACTCTTTACGAGAAAGAGGAGGCAGCAACAAATTAGGTAGTGGATGCATCGGACACGGATATACGTAGCGATGTCCAGGGTGTTAATGGCTATCATCACGTCGATTAGCAAGGAGTCATGAATCTTCTACTATACGATAACTCTATGGTTCACTGTCCACCACCCAAAGTACTTGTCGGAGTTGCTAAATCCTTTATTAGCTACGGTTCAGCTTTGATGGACAGTAAGGATATTTGAGTTGATCACATCCGGTGAGATGTATTTGCCTCAGCAGATGGTGGAACGATTCTGGTTGCAGGCTGGAGTGAAGAACGACAGCATTAGTAGTCATCTGTGCCAAATCGACATTTGATTCAAGGTCTATTCGCATTCACTTACTGCATCTTCTACTTACATTGCATTATTTCAGGATGTGTCTTGATCTTCCTTCATTTTAGCATCAAAGGATGCTTCAAATTTGACTAAGATGATTCATTATATGCGCTTCCTTGAGCTTACGGAGAAATCAGTGGTCAACACATTGATGGGGAGTTGGGCACTACGCCCAAACACAGATAATGGAAGTTAATGACAAATTCTGTATTCTTCCTTCTTTTTCGTGGTTCAAAACCAAAATTTCATTACCAATCCCATTCATCTCCTTAAACAGTTTAATCAAGCTTACTAAATGTGGAGATCGTCAGCGTCAGTGTCACCATTCATGCATTGAATTGGTATCAAACAGCTTGTTAACCTCTATCAGAGTTTAAAGAAGAAATTACTTTTTGTTGCTGTCGAAGCGTTGTACTTTAAAGAAGGGAACTACTTCAACGTAAGCATTGCAGTTCCATGCATTTACTTTCTACCAATGTCAGTTAGGACATTTTTCGCGATATGCCACATTCATATTGAAGCAAAGCAGAAATACAAAGGTGACGTAGAATACAATTTTCAAACCGGCATTAAACTGCAGTCAAAAAATCTCCAAATTTTTCGTCTGAATTTTAATCTTACCATCAAGTTAGTAATAAGAATTATAACTTTTATTTGGATTTATTAGGGTAAGTTTTAGTCTAGTTTCCACATCACATCGAAGTTTTACAATCAACTCGTAAAGATGCCATCATAATCGTGCACTTTCTGGCCTGTCTCACATAATAACAGGCAATTTTATTGAGTCCAATGCTGATAACACACTTGATTGCTCACCTAACTTATGCGGGTCGCTACGTACACCATAGAGGAATTCCTCGCTTCCAAATTATCAATAGCAACTTCTGGTGAGTGCGACAGATAATAAGTGTAGGAAGAATTGACTGATGCATCGAAAAAGCCAATTGGAAATGAGAAATAGCACTTTTTGCGGTTTCTACAATTTTGCAATTGCGATTTCAGTGCCCTGGGGAAGAAGGAAATTCCAACATTTGAATGCCTTTTCTTAGCATGGAAGTTTGTGAACCGAGGTATAATACAGAGAAGCAGCTATTTCTTCAAGTTAGTTGCACATCACAAACGCTGCATTTCGACGTCAGGTCGATTACCATAACAATCCACTGCACCGTGTCCTTGAGTTGGTGCATTGGACACTGTCAAAGAATGTCTGTCCCACATAATATCACGGGCCAATCAGAAGGGGCAGTTTTGTCCAATGCCGTACACCTAACGAAATGTTTGGCTGAAGGGTCGGCATTAATACCAGGTGTAATTTACCGGCATGCCCTCATCAGCATTGGGCATGCGCATGGGCTCACTTGAAGATAAAATAAATTTACAATTATATTTGACGTTCAAGTGCCTTTGCCTCTGTTATTAAGAGGGGAAACGCAGATGGTGCTGAGACCCTCAGTAAATAGAAATTTTGGGAATAAATCTTTGTCAAGCTTATTCTACATGAAACCTGGTCACGCATGCTAAGGAGTTCATGACGCTCTGCCAGCGCATTTAATAAGAAAATCATTAGATATTTTATTGAATACACCAAGAAAACACTGGATTAATTTTAATAACTTGCTGATTGTAGGCAACTTTGAAGGACAATGGGCAGTTATGCTGAGTAATTAAGCGAATGCCATCAATTCACAGGAAAGAGAAACTTCCTATGCTATACAAACTGAGATGTCCTCCTTTGAGCAGGCCTCGTATTTCTTGTAGAGAAATTCAGAGGATAAGCACCATGATTAGTATGGCAACTCTGAAGTAAATGAAATCTTTTAGGGAAATCGCAAATCGTGAAAGTTGAGTAACCTAAAGAATACAGGTTTTGTAGGAATATCTTTAAAGTGAAATCAAATATTCTAAAATGGCATTTGCGTCTGCACAGATGCGCAGCAGATGAGTAAGGGTTCGTCCATGAGATTAGGCTAGAACGCTAATTCTGTGTATATTCATTCATAATCTTTGTTTAGAAGATTGGGAACGGAATACTGATCTTGGCTGTGGGCGAATTTGTGTCCACGCTAAATTTTGCTTCCCTAGAGTGCGTCCAAACAGTGAGCATGTATATTTGATGTCCACCACACATCCACGTAGGGTATAATTTCATTCATGAAGACAAACCATGACTTTGCACGAGGCTGCAAACCTATTCAGACAATATATTATAGCAGTCATACCCAATTTACGTGCCTTCGTGTTTGAATGCATCCTGAAGCAAATGGAAAGCCAATGATACCCAAATAAAGTAAATATGCCCTTAATGGAACCAGTCACTTTGTCTCATCTAAATAGCACTAAAGAAGGGAACTAGATGTGTAAGGATGGCACTGTAGTATCGTCCTGTATAAGCCCTGTTTGCGAAAACAATTGCCCATGCTCACTTGAAATATTAGCATTATTAACTTGTTTGCGGCAGAAGAGCGAAGGAAACAACTTTGGATGCATTACAGGTAGATCAAATGTTGTGCATCTCTTACCCAAAGTTCAGTCCAATTTAGGGTATCCTCCGGTAAAATTTGATTAAAGTGAGACTAAAAAACCCAACTTATTTGAACTGCAGAAATATTTAAAAGCTTAGCATCTTGACAAAATTTATTTATTGAATCATATTGGTAATGCGTGTAATTGAGATAGAGTAATGGAATGTTATGAGTCCAGTAAATGTAAGTTTAGATCCTATTCCTAGGCGTGTTCTTGTCAGCTGCTGTAAAAGCAATTTCTGTGGCATCCTCCTTTTCCTCTCCACTAAGGAAGAGGCACCAGACCTGTCGTAAATTTCCAGAGCAGTAAGCATGGTGGACGACAAAATTTATTGCACGACGGGCTGGAATACAAAGCAATACCAAAGAAATTCATAGTTGCAATTTAGAGTGGAATCATTACAGTAATGCTATCATAAGTTTCTTCTTTCTCGCAGAAGTAATTCCTACCAAATTTTATCTCTAGTAATGGTGATGCTTTCGAGTAACATTGCCGGACAATTGATGGGATGGACTGTTTTTCAGTGTGCTGTTTAGTTCTGCAGCCATTCAAATGACGAGATACGGCAAAACGAGTCTTAAAAATACGTCACGAAAATATCACATCACATTAGCTGCGTAAAACACCAAGAAACATCACTCAAGGCAATTGCTGGTAAGAACAAGGAGTCACAATTATGCGGCTTGAAGACACTTTGCCCCCCCTTTAAAGACATCACTGATTCGGTCTAGCAAAAGAAATGACTCAGACACCAGCCCACAAAGACATCAAAGCCACCATAGGCTTTGTCAATTGCTCCATTAAGAAGGAGGATGGATCTACGTCGACTACAAAAGCTGAGCCCAGTAACGATAAAGAATACTTTCTGGCTACCTTATATAAAAGTATCATTCCACTCCCTTCATGGGTCAGAGTGGTTTTCCCTCCTAGATGTAAATTCAGGATAATCTGAAGTGGACCTGGTCGGATAGGGTAGAGATGGGACAGCAATCGTATTGCTAACAGAACTGTATAATCTTCAGACCATGTACTTTAGACTCTAAAATGCAACGACGATATTCCATCGCCCTACGCAAGCTGCGCCAATTGGATTATTCCTGAAACACTTTTCAGTATACCTGGCTAACATTCTTGTTTCCGATAGGGGTGATCAAGTGCATACTGCTGGTCTGATTTTAGTGTTATGGGTCTAAGAGAGGCGGGTTAGACTCTAAACCCCAGGTAATGTCGATTCATGCATTGCTTTGTCAAATCTCTAAAACGTATATATCGTCAGACCAGTTGGCAATATCCAAAGTATGCACTAAGTAGCAGAGTGATTAGACTATTTCCCTACCACTAACAGGTCACAACGTGTGTTCACTAAGAACACAATTCTGCAGCATGAAATGACGCCTTAGAACGCTTCGGATGATCTGGATGATATGGTGAGTTTCAGCAAATAAAACTGTGCGGAACAACTAAAAGTTTCTGAAGACCCAACTGCCTACTCCGACTTTAATTATATGCATGAAGTCTGCCAACTCAGGCCAAGCATCCAGACAGCAGGCCAGCCAGGCAGCCAATGCTGGTAGAAACATTGTATTATCTAACATAACATCATCCAGCAATGCGATGGCAGTGTAAATGGCCTTCCATAACTAAGTGCAGTCCATACCTTGTGATGCAGTTCATGGTGAACAACACACTTCTGCACTGTTCAGGTTGGTTCCACTACGGAGTTTTTTTTGGATATTTCTTCGAATTAGCATTCTCCTTGTGTCCTATCCTCCTGATTTTTGCTCCCAATCGTCTATATTTAGGCTGTTTTGAGAATTTTTTGCTACAGCTCTCTTTATTCTTCTTATGCACAGTCGAGGTCATATGCAAGTGCATTAGCGCATAAGAATGCTGAAAATTCTCGTAAATATAAACAGCGGAAGATGGAACACCCCATTTGGAGCGAGTCACTTTATGCTCAAAGGCTTGAATGTATCATTCCATGTAGCAGTGCCTTCTTGCAATTTCCATAGTGTGATTTCAGTCTCCACAATGCCTTATCAATAAAATCGAGGGCAGTGCTCTACAATGTACGATTTTAAGAGGGAGAGGTGAGGATACCACTTCTGAGACAGTATTTGGGAAAACACTGCAAAAAGTTTCACCTTTTGACTGCAAGCAGCCCAGTTTAACAAATGCGTCAAAATAGGACTATCTTCTGCCTTTTACTCCAAATAACTCCTGCCAAAACAATTTAAAGCACTTCTTTTCACCTAAGCTGATGTAAAATTCCACTTTTCAAGTCATCATTCTAAATTCCTTCTGGTCTTGTGTTGTCGAATGCTGCAGATTTGTTCACGCAAGTCCCACAGCCTGATTCTCGACTCAATTTTCAATTTTAAACAGTTTGCACAAAGCAAAACAATAAATCCACACATATTTACTGTAGCAGAAGTCCATGCGTTCATGTGGCTTACTTAAAAAGGTATTAACTAATCTTCTATGAAATTTAAATTGTGAAGTTACCAGACACTGGTAAAATGTCATGTAAAATGTGCGTGGCATTCAGTTTGATTTGATATTGATTCCATTTACCATACATGCTAGGCTACAGGTCCAAAATTGAGCGAACAGCAAAATGTGGAGATGAAAGTAAAGCTTTTTTTGTTTTAAAATAGCCACAAACAGGGCTTAGCTAACAAGGAATGCATGTTTATATGCCTGTGACGGAAAACATCAAACCTCATTTTCTAAGGGTAGAAAACAAGTCTTAGAAATTCACATTCTTAACTTCTGGGGGCGGATATTTGATGACCAACTTGCAAAAGCACAATGCTCAAGTACCTGAAATGTATATGCAGTCAACGAAGCTTGTACACCTCTCTCCTTGCAGGTACAAGTGCCTATCAACACCACTTGCTAAAAGAGGTCGGGTGGATAGTCAAACACACTGGCACCTGACACGGCGTCAGCTTTCCTCAACAAAACTGCAAAAGCCCTGCTTGTGCATCGACAAGTATGGCACATCCAGATAACCATAAAAACAGTAAATTGCCGCAAGCAAGTCTGAGTGCAATAAGCGCTACGCATCAGAACAATTCAGTAATATTCCACAAATGTCGTAGCCTACCGCATTCACCGCTAGATTCCAACTCGAAATGCAGTGCCCAAGTGGGCAGGAGCGTTTATTGCAGAAATAAAATGAAGTAAAATTTTATTCCTGTACAAGGTATGATACAGTGGTGGTACCTACTCACATAATTTAATCCCTTTAAAATTTAGCAGTTCCATAATGTTTGGAAAATGCGATAGTCCATATACCACCACCATTGGTCATTAATGCCAAATATTAACTTGAACTCCCTACACAAAAATGGATTTTTTATCTACTTTTATTCTATTGGCTAAGGTACAGGCAGTTAGCTGGTAGGGAAGGAAGTCACAAATCACACGATACCCTGCAGGTTTACTTACAGAATCCGCATACTGGACGTAATCGTAATGCTACAGCATTACAAATGCCTGTGTCACACCTGCAGGAAATCATCTTGCCCTACAGAAACTTGCTTGCATTGGCTACAGGTGGAGATATCTCCGCCATTAGCGTAATCAATTTAGGAACTAAATTCTCTCCTCAAATCAAATATGCTAAGGCCATCCAGCTCTGCTGAATCAATTAGAATGGATGGATTCATAGCCACTGATATGCACACATGGCACAAATCGAAAAAAGCCAATTTACGTATGCAAGGGTGTCCGTCCCTGATGCCACATACATTCAAGTGCGAAATTGGTACTTCGCGCGGCAAAGCGCAGATTGCATCTTTTGCGATTTTTGATGAGTGGCAGCATTAACGGGTGTGTGGATTTCGTGATGTTAGGTTTATGTTAATGCCAGCGTCATGAACACTTTGGTCTCAAGTGCGGCCTACACATCCCTCTGGAATAAAACCACTGCACCGCATCAGTGCCTGAAGCAGATAGATACTGCTCTATTTGGTAATTTGGACAAATTTTGCAGACTTCTGTTGCTTATGGACAGCCGATGAGTCCAGTCCTTGTGGTTCTTGTCAAAGAGCCAATTAGGTGAAGAGAGAGATTGCTGTGTCGCTATTTGGAAGACTGTATCATTCAAGGCAGTACAATATTCCATCCAGCTTAAGCTTATGGTGGCAACAATACTAAAGCTGAGCAGCAAGATAATGGGGATGGGAGTAGCGGCAATGGGAATATCATGCAGTAAGGGTGGCCGCAGTGATGTAATTCATATCACAAGCATTAGAGATGTAACAATTCAACCTAAGAATATAAATCAATTACTTTTGGTTCTTTACACATTTATGTACGCCTAGAGAAAAAGAGCAATATTTGGCTTGTCAGAAAGGTAATTTTGTGTAATTACATGATGTGATGAAAATACAGAAGTGACGAGACATGGTCCATGACGGAGCAATTAATTCGGCTGCTCCTATAGACTCCACTATATGGGATAGGCCAAGTAGAAGCACGGCCTTTGCAACATGCAATAGGAATGCAGCTTTTAATTATTCTATTCAGTATACTGATCCCATAGGGAATGAAATTTTGCAAGTATGCATCTGTGTTTCGGTACGTCAAAGTCGACAGTACAGGATTTAGGTGAAAGAGGTGGTCCTCTTTTTGATGGAATGAGCAAACGTTATTCGAATAAAAATGCCTTACCATTTCCAAACAGCAAAAATATAAACACTTTAGTTCGACCAGAGCAGCATGCTGTGAGTGGAAGTAAGTTTACTTTTTGCATAGTTAAAGGACTCATATTTTTGAGTCATTCAACGGCCATCGCATCTATTATATCTAGTGCTTTCGCGCAGGCTTGTAGTCATTGACGAATTTTTGAAATATAATTTTTTATCAGAGTGGAAGTCATGGAAGGTATCAAAAAGATGAGCTCCCTATTGACTGGTAGATCAAAATAGACGAAAATACAACTTACCACCTACTAAAAAGCGCGACACGAATTATCGGTCGACAAATCTGCAAAAAAATTTAGATTTTACGCCTTCATTTACTTTACTACCCTTAGCACAATTTTAATATGCCCCTTCATACACTTAACCTGGTTTGTAATACGATCATTACACACCCTTGCACCACGGACCACCTTAAACAGAGAGAACAAGCTGTTAATATCCCGACTGCCCTACTGCTGCTAAAGATGATAGGTTAACAAGTTGAAGCCCTTAGGACTAATTCTATTTGGCTCTCCTGGAGTGGTTGGTCTTACCGATGGTGCAAAGTATTGATATTAACTAACACTCAAAGGAAAGCACAGAGAATTAGCAAAATTCCATGTAAAATATAAACAGAGATGTAAAAAAGATGTGATTCTAATGCATACTGTGAGGTGGTGGCTAAGGTCAAATGAGGAGGTAGAAGATGGCGGAGCGAAGTTTAAAGTTAAAACAGACGATTATATACCTGCACTGCAAATAGAAATAGACAATACTGTGTGCAGGAAAAAATTTGAGAACTTCAATGATTTATGGTTAAATAGAATGTAAAATTTTGTTTTTTAACGATGTTCATTGTTGTATCCATATCCCCATAAGAATGGCTAAGTTTAGTGAGATGAGGTAGGCCTGAGACACCGATAAGTGGGGGTGGCCGGTGAAATGTAGTAGGCTATATCGCAAAGACTTGTAGAAAGGTCCGATTCTTGCGAGCACTTTGTTGCAGATATCAATTGCGTTGGCAATCTAGATCTGCCAACGTGGTAAAGGTGTGGCTGCTGCTGGTAAGAGAGTAATGTTGGTAATCTAGATACTTAGACGAACTAGTAGCGTAGTGTTAAAAAAAACGGAATTTTGTGAGGCACAAATGCATTTATATTCGGGTTGCACGAAGAAACTCCCCATCCATGATAGAGATCACATTCAGGTGATTATAATTGCAACTCAATTGCAAAAACTAATTAAATTAACGTGTTAACACCTTTGATCAAAATTGAGTGCATACGGGTGCTCAGGGAACATGATCAGGTTTTGCTAACTAATTATCCCTGTGGCGGGCATGGCACCATAAATACTATAGTTAATCAAGCCCATGCAGTCTATTACCTTCTGACAGGGGGCGGGTAAATGCACCGTACCAAGGCTGTAGGAAGATCATTCCCACCAGTTTGCGCTCTAGTGCAACAGTAACGCATGTCGCTTTAGTCACGGTAAAAGTTCACTTCATCCCCACTTTTCTGGAAATGGATCCCAGGGCACACTCTGATTGCTTTTCAGCTAATAGATG